AAGTGACATTGTAATTTAGTTTCTTTTTTCTTGTCTTCACCACCTGGCTACTGTTGTAAAATGTTGAGCGATTCAAACAAAAAGTAATCAATAAATAGAACAAAATAAAAAATAAAAAAGACTGCAAGTGACGTCGCTAGCGGAAGCGCAAGTGTCTGAGAGTGCACGCGCCAGCTGCAGCCAGACCCTTCTCATAACTACACCTGTATCGAGCAGGGGCGGAGTCTGTCGGTGACGCTGAAGCCGCGTGCGTCATGACGCCGCGGGTGGGCGGGGCTCTGACGTCAGCGCGTAATCTCGTTCCACGGGCGGGAGTTCCTCGCGGCCTTTTCCTCGCGACAGCGGCTAACCGCGAGAACTGCTCGACTTCGGTGTTAGGCGTGGACCCGATTCTGAGTCTACACGACCGACCCACTCGTTCCTGTCTCCTGTCACCGCGGATCTCGTGGCGTTAGCGCGTCAGGATGGAGCTGATCACAATCCTCGAGAAAACCGTGTCTCCAGGTAACGCTACGCGCGCCTCACACGGCCTCATGCCGCTTCTCTCGCTGTGATCGACACTGAGCGGGCGGCGGGCGGCGGAGGCCCCGCGACGCGTCTCACATGTGGTGTGAACCGCTGCACAGACACGCTGCGATGCGTTTTAATTCTTCACACGGTCTACACCAGCCTTCAGAGTGTCGCGCGAGCATGCGTCGCGTGTGCCGGCCTGTGCGGCGACGAGTCTCGGATAACGTGATTCTGATGACCGAAAGCTCTCGGTCACGCTTCCGTACATGATCTCCGGTGGTTTGCTTGGTCGTGCGCGCGGTTAGAGCCGCTGCAAACTTGTTAGCAGGTTAGCATGCTAGTCAGGAAGTGGCTAGGTGTTAGCATGGCTAGCACGCAGTCATCCTGTGCTGTGTGCTTCGCAAAGTTTAGGAGTCTGCGGCTGATTGCAGTGTTCAGGAAGTCTTCGGCTCGCTGACACATGTGAGACGCGGGCGGGAGAGGAAGGCCGTGTCGTTAGCTCTCGCTCAGAAGTGTTCATTCACGGCTGTGATTGCTTTTCAGATCGGAATGAGCTGGAGGCGGCGCAGAAGTTTCTGGAGCAGGCGGCCATCGAGAACCTGGTGAGCAAACCACTCCACACTCCTCCGTCTGCACATGTCTGCTCTTAATTTCGCAGTAACTGGCCTTTCACTTTCTCCCTCTTACCCTGACTGTCCAAACTCACACTCGGCTGTCTAGTCAGTGTAGATGAGGAGCCAGCTCCTGTCTGTGGCCGGTGGGGCTTGTTGTAGTTTGGGGCGCATTGGTCCAGAACTGCACCAGCCTCCCGGTCCTTTCCAGCCAGCTGCATGAGAGCTCAAGGAGTGACGCATCTGAATCAGCCAAGCGCTTTCACCCTTTTTGCATGCTGCACCTATTTAGAGAGGAACATCATCTGATGTTTCCAGATCTGTGTCTCCAGTGATCACAGCAGATGCTCTAGGCTCATTTAAATCCCCCGTCTTGGTTCGTTTCAGCCGACCTTCCTGGTGGAGCTGTCCAAGGTGTTGGCCAACCCCGGGAACACGCAGGTGGCACGAGTCGCCGCCGGGCTGCAGGTCAAGAACTCCCTGACGTCGAAGGACCCGGATGTGAAGACGCAGCACCAGCAGAGATGGCTGGCCATTGACACCAGCGCCCGCCGGGAGATCAAAAACTACGTAAGCACACCCTTCTGTCCGTGTGTGTGCTGCATGTCTGTGTGTGGCGTTGTGAACGGCAGGTTCATCTGGTCACGCTAACAGTGACCTCAGACCAGCAGCAGGGTTGCTGCACGGTTCAGAAATCAAACGCAAGGGTTTTTAAGATCTTAGCTTACAAATGTATACTCTATATCTATTCTAGAACAAAATACACAGGGTTTCAGCAAGTTTAAAAGTGTAGTTTCACTCAGTGCGAGTTAATGAACACATTTAATCATGAATATTAGCCATCTTAAAATCATTAAATATAACAATGCTAATATTTCCATATAATGTAACTGCTTATTGAAGATTGTGATTTAACTGATTAATTGCACCTATCATAGAAATTCTGATCATTAATATGTTGGTGCATTGAATCCTCATGTTAATGTGGAATGAACATAAAGGCAGTACACTTTGAGAAATCAAGGCCTGTATCGCCAATACAGAGACCTGTTACATTTGTTTTTAATTGCTCAGATTAGAGCCTTAAACATTATATTTGAAAATGTCACTGGCTTTATTAACATGGTCAGTCGCAGCAGCTGTGTGTAAGTTACAGCCTAGTCTTGACGTAAAGGGGCATTAAGTCACATCTTGCGCACAAAATATTTTGGCATTGCACCATTTAACTTAGCTGAAGCCTAACTCTGCGTATAAACTCAATATTTACAGAAGTCTCCGAGCAGTAGTAACGGTTGGAATAAAATAGCAGATTGATTGAATTTAATTCCTTTAGACGTATGTTCGCTTTTACACTCGTTTACGTTTTAACAGTAAGAACACTGAGTTTAGTGGCTTATCAACACAAACCCAATCTAAAAAACACACTTCTCTGTGCTTATCAAGTAAAATCATAAAATAATAATGCTGCTTTTTTTAAAGGTTTTTATTGATCCCTATTGAAATAGTTTCTAAATGTCATTTATATATATATATATATATATATAATACCTGTTCATACATAAGGAATATCTGTACCATTTCATGATCTAGTATTGTATTTCACTGGAAACGTATTTTTACTGTTAGTCATGAGGCAAAAGTATTTGAAGGCTGCTGTTTGATCACTGAGTGTAAACGTCATATTTGATTAAGAATTACTTTACAAAGAGTTTATGATGTACTGCCTTCATTCTGCCTTAACAACAAAGGGTGAAACTGAATAGAGTACAGACTTAACAACTAGCTAGTAGTTACTAAGCCTTTAGTGTGGTTCCAGTTTAAGAGCCTACAAACGGCTGGTGCGACCGGACCAGGTGATCTTTGTCTCATCATGGCACTGTTGAGAAAAACAATAATATCCACATGCTCGGGTGAAACCGTAAGAACACGCACCGACACAGGAGTTCCAGAGACGCAGAGATAACGGTGTGCTGAGCAGAGTTTCTTCCAGCGCTTTGTGTTTTCTGTTCTTAAAGCACTCTCCCTCAAGACAATGTAAAGGAAGCACATGTCTGAAGACTGTCAGATCAGCTCTGTTCTCTGTCTCATTGAGAACAGTTCATCTGATTCTCATTGTAGTGGTGATATGATGAGAACTCAGTTTGACCGATTCATTTGATCAACAGTAGTTCAGTTTTGTAAGATCATTTTGATCAAAGTAATTCTAAGCTTCACAAGGAAGACGACGACATTCTGTGAACTCGCTCCACAGCGCCACCCAGTGCATTCAGTTATTACTGACTGTTTGCTGCTTAAGATTCATCATGGATTTCCTGCATTTACGGCCAGCAAAGCAGCACGTAGTAAAATTCAAATAGTGTTTTTACTTTTCGAATGATAAGTACAGATCGAGTATTCAGCTATTTGTGCACACCCCTGGCTCTAGCCGATGCACTTCATTTGTTCTGAGTCTGTAGCGCTCATAAGATGACCTTTGAAGGGTTTCCAGTAGGGGAGTCTGAATCTGTGCTTTGTGAATGAGTGCGGTGTGCTCTCTCTGTCTTTGCAGGTGCTGCAGACTCTGGGAACAGAGACCTATCGGCCCAGCTCGGCCTCTCAGTGTGTGGCTGGCATCGCCTGCGCCGAGATCCCCGTCAATCAGTGGCCCGAGCTCATCCCTCAGCTGGTGGCCAACGTGACGGACCCCAGCAGCACAGAGCACATGAAGGAGTCCACGCTGGAGGCCATTGGATACATCTGCCAGGACATCGTGAGTCCCGTCCAGCATGCACTTAGGCAACCGCAGTATCACCGCACTATTGACGAGCCAACCGCAGCAGCCGCGATATTTGCCTGTTTTCTTTTTTCATAAGATTACACCCTTCTCGTGTTACACTTCGTGCATGTATACTGAATATTAAATAAGTTAGTAATGATTATATAATGCTGATTAATACTGGGGCTCCATAGAGTTAAAATGATTTCAACAGCGTGTTTCATTACTTCTCTCTTTGAATGAATCTGCGTTTTTGAACTTGTTGAATGAACGGTTTAAAGACTCGCTCCCTTGCTTGTGGTGCAACAATCTAACTGCACTGACTGACAGCCCGTCTAGAGTGCGCAGGTCTCTTGTCCAGTCAGATTCGAGGATCAGCACTAACTCTTATACACACAGGCTAACAACTAATGGACGCTTTTCACAAGACACTGGTGACGCGTTTAAACGGTCATCAGCATCAAAGTTTTTTTCTGTTTTCATTTTTTTAAAAATGTATGTACATTTAAAACACTTTATTATATTACCTTTGCATCAAAATACAAAACAGCTAGTTAATGCGTGGGTGTGTGACGGTAAATTTGACCTCGTTCTCTCTTGACTGCCGTTATCAGGCTCTCTATATACCTTTTTTTGAAAGTCATGAAAACATGATCATGGTGTTTTTCTTTTGTTATTTGAGCCAATGGGAATGCAAAAAAAATATTTGTGGTACTCTCCCATTCGCTGTTATAGAAGTTTACCCAACTATGACGATTTCTGCTACTGAGAAACCCAGAAATGTCAGGTTTATGTTCTGGTATTTTGATATTCTCTTCTGTTTATTTCACTTCCTGTATCAACACCCTATTTAGTTTTGGTTTCATTGGTTTCTGAATATGACCTGACCTGAATATGACTTCGTTACACTGTAACACATACACAAACATTTTATATATATATATGGTGATAATACCGCATATCGCACTGAGCCACTTAAAAAGCCACTCACCTCGACTGGCCTACACTCACTCCCTGCTGTGTGTTTGATGTCATCTGTTTGATTTACCCTGTAAACGGTTTGTCAGGACCCCGAGCACCTTCAGGACAATGCCAACCAGATCCTGACGGCCATCATCCAGGGCATGAGGAAGGAGGAGCCCAGCAACAACGTCAAGCTCGCCGCCACTAACGCGCTCCTCAACTCGCTGGAGTTCACCAAAGCCAACTTCGACAAGGAGGTACTGCTGCATCCTCACTTATGATTACAGGGCCTCTGCAGTTCAGCCGTTCGGTCTCACGCTCGCGCTCTCTCTCTCTCTCTCTGCAGACGGAGAGACACTTCATCATGCAGGTCGTGTGTGAAGCCACGCAGTGTCCAGACACCAGGGTGCGTTCTCTGTTAACACGCGTGTCTGTCAGATGCTGATTATCTCTGCTGCAGACATGGACGAGTATCCAAAAGGAAAATATTAGCAATGATATGCTTTAGATGTGCAATGAGTGTGTGATTGTGTCCTGCTGTAGGTGAGAGTGGCTGCGTTACAGAACCTGGTGAAGATCATGTCCTTGTATTACCAGTACATGGAGACCTACATGGGCCCGGCGCTGTTTGCTGTAAGTTCTCAGACGAGCCTCAGTTCAACATCCTCAACAACAAAGTGTTCTGTACCACACGAAGGCCATGTAGACACCTCCGAGTTTCCCTCACAGAAGATCACTCCTGAAGTTGAGATGATTGGTGTTAGTGATGCGGCAGTTTAATCCATTTTGTGTTGGACTGAAGTATTAGGCCATCGATTCATTATCCAGATGTTTTAAAGGGATAGTTCACCCAAAAATGAAAATTGTCATTTACTCAGCCTCAAAAAGAAACCAAAATTTCCAAAAGGAGACATTTTAAAGATTAGTATGGGGAAAAATACTATGGAAGTCAGTGTGGACCAGCAACTGTCTGGTTATCCACATTCTTCAAAATATCATCTTTTGTGTTTTCAACAGAAGAAACTCATAATGTAAATGATGGCAAGTTTCATTTTGGGGTGAACTCTCCCTTTAAACCGAAGCTGTCTTTAGCACATGTAATGTATGGGGTCCTGTAGAAATGGCTGATCTCTGGTACAGTGCTCTCACCTGCTGCTCTGTGTTCAGATCACAATAGAGGCCATGAAGAGTGACATCGATGAAGTGGCCTTACAGGGAATTGAGTTCTGGTCCAACGTCTGCGACGAGGAGATGGATCTGGCCATTGAGGCCACTGAGGTGAAGCACGATGCCGGCGTTATGCCATCTCCAGTCTGCTGCTCCACAAACGCTCTCGTTCCTGATCAGTTGTTGATGTTGTGTTTCCTCAGGCCTCTGAACAGGGCCGTCCTCCAGAGCACACCAGCAAGTTTTACGCTAAAGGAGCTCTGCAGTACCTGGTGCCCATCCTGACACAGACGCTCACCAAACAGGTAAAGCTGGTCTCAGTGGCTGCTGTAGGGCGGTTTTTGAAGCTCATTTCCAGCCATACATCATGTGTGTGTGCAGAAACTCCCCTCTGGGTTAATGAGCTTATTGAAGCAAAGTGAAGTGATCACTGGCTCTCACGCTGTGGAACAAGACCTTGATTCTCTCATTCACAAACCACAGAAACTAGTCATTTCAGACAAGTTAAAACAATTTAGCTGTTCAAACAGTGTGACTACAGAAGTTGTAGTAGTATCAGTTATTAATGAGTGACAAATCAAAGATAAGACAGCCTGTACAGGCGCAGGCCGAGCCAGCAAATCAAGGGGAAATTGGCCTTCAGGTGCAACAAGCAGCTCGGTGACTGTATTCTCAATATATCACATCCACAAGGGCTTTATTGCTAATAGAAAGCTGCTTCTACATATATTTCACATTTTCACTATAATTTTTGTTAAATCCCTGAACTGACTTTTCTTTAATTTACAGTACCTGAGACTTTGTTTAATAGTCGGTCTCGAAGGCTACGTTCAGACAGGAAAAAGTTGATTGTTTTTTATTCATAAATGTGTGAACCGCACAAACCACATGGGATCTGATTTTTAGATTCTGATTTGGGCTATATGTGACCCTGGAGCACAAAACCAGTCTTAAGGGTCAGTTTTTTCGAAATTGAGATTTATACATCATCTGAAAGCTGAATAAATAAAGCTTTCCATTGATGTATGGTTTGTTAGGATAGGACAATATTTGAAAATCTGGAATCTGAGGGTGCAAAAAAATCTAAATATTGAGAAAATCACCTTTAAAGTTGTTCAAATGAAGTTCTTAGCAATGCATATTACTAATCAAAAATTAAGTTTTGATATATTTACGGTAGGAAATGTACAAAATATCTTCACGGAACATGATCTTTACTTAATATCCTAATGATTTTTGGCATAAAAGAAAAATGTATGATATTGACCCATACAATGTATTTTTGGCTATTGCTACAAATATACCCCAGCGACTTAAGACTGCTTTTGTGCTGCAGGGCCACATATGTGGTACTAAGTCAGATTGGGTCGAGACACTGTTTCAGCTTTCTGAAAACTAAACCTCTCATTTGTGTTGACCAGCAGCTTTTCTTTGAACATGGTCAAGAATGATCAAAATCAGCTGTGTGACTGAAAGACTTGAGGAGTTTTGCTGTTGAGTCTGTCTGAAGGAGAGTGTGCTGTGTGCAGGATGAGAACGATGACGATGATGACTGGAACCCGTGTAAAGCTGCGGGCGTGTGTCTGATGCTCCTGGCCACGTGCTGCGAGGACGATGTAGTGCCACATGTGCTGCCCTTCATCAAAGAGCACATCAAGCACCCGGACTGGCGCTACCGCGACGCCTCCGTCATGGCCTTCGGCTCCATCCTGGAGGGCCCCGAGCTCAGCCAGCTCAAGCCGCTGGTCATCCAGGTAAGGGCTGTGCTGGGCTCAGTGAGGGACGTGTCTGTGCCAGTTCTGTGTGTGATGTTGAGTGTCTCTGCAGGCCATGCCCACCCTCATCGAGCTGATGAAGGACCCCAGTGTGGTGGTGAGGGACACCACGGCCTGGACGCTAGGACGCATCTGTGATCTGCTGCCCGAGGCCGCCATCAATGAGGTGTATCTGGCCCCTCTCCTGCAGTGCCTGATTGAGGGCCTCGGGGCCGAACCCCGCGTGGCCTCCAACGTCTGCTGGGTATGACAGCTCGACTCTTTCTCAGCGTCTCCTCTCACATCACTGTTTTTATGATGAAGGCGTGTCATAACGGTTTTGTGATTGGTTGGAGCACTGAAAATCATGCAGCATGTGTTTGGCATCTTTAACTGCTAGGTGTTTTCTTCACTATTGGTACAGTGTACATGATTAATTGTTCTTGTCACCTCAGCCACGTACACGATCAGATGCTTAAGCTTCTAATGCAAGCGTGTAGTAGTTAAGCACTCGGTATGGCGTGCGAGCAGTGTTTGGTTTGACTTCAATAGAAGGCAGTGGACCCCTCGGACTCACAGCACATTAATGCGATCGCTCAGTGTGTCAATTGTGCTGTGATAGGAGACTTACAGATGCTGTTTGCAGGCTTTCTCCAGTTTGGCTGAAGCGGCGTACGAGGCCACAGACGCTGCTGACGATCAGGAAGAGCCCAGCACATACTGCCTGTCCTCCTCCTTTGAGCTCATAGTCCAGAAGCTGCTGGAGACCACAGACAGGTGAGCAGCCGCCGCACTTCGCTTTCAAACAGCGCACAAAGACTGTATACTTGTTTCAATTTTAGTTCAGTTGGCACATGCTTTGTCAAAGCAGAGACACAAAACAGCTTGAGAGGCATTTTATGATAAACTGTGGCAGGACAGAATAGCTGGAGTGTCTAGAGCAGTGGTTCTCAGTCCTGCTCCTGGAGCTCAACTCTGCACAGTTTAGATGTCTCCCTAATCAGACACACCTGATTCAGCTCATTAGTGAAGACTCCGAGATCTGATATGCCTGCAGGGTAAGAGACGTGTCAGGGGTTCTCCGAGACCTGGATTGGGAAACATTGAGTTTAATTTAACTTAAGTTAGGGACACAACTAATAGTTTATTATGCCGGTTAGTGTTGTCACGGTACCAAAATGTCAGTATTCGGTACCGATACCAGTGAAAATCCACGGTTCTCGGTACCAATTTCGGTACCAAAGCAAAACACAAAAACATGCTAATTGAACAACATTTTTATTAATAACGTTAAACAAAAAT